TGTAATAAAACAATGTGTACTAACTGTTTAATGAGAAACTATTTGTTCTGTAAACCTTCACCTGAAGTACAATTTAAAAAAAAAAAACAAAAAAACCAAACCATAGTTTAGCTTAACCAATGAAAAATGCCTGCCTTGAGCATTGTGCTCTGTTAAGAACTATCTATATGGGATCAAATTGACAACAAGAACTCAAAAGATTAGGTAGGAACCTTAGAGGGCAATGAGTTTATGTTACAGGGGGAGGGACAACTCAGAAAAGGAAAGTGAGGATGGTTATACAACTTGAAGAATGTAATCAGTATCACTGAATTGTACACATAGAAACTGTTGAATTGGTGTATGGTTTGTTGTGTATATTCTCAACAACAACAAAATAAATAAAATTTTAAAAAAACTAACGGGATAGCAAGAACAGTTGCACAACTGGAAGAATGTAATCAATGTTACTGAAATGTACATGTAGAAATTGTTGAGATGGTGCATTTTGTTATATATATTTTCACCACAGTAATATATGTAAGAGAAAAAGACTAATAGAGCTGGAGATAAGAAAATTGATGCATAGGTAGGTTGCAAATGACTTGTAGACTATAGTATGAAGTGCCTGTCTCAGACACATCTCTCCTTCCAGGGGAACCTGTCGGCAATGAAGGACTTTGGTCAGTCCAACACAAGGATCTTAGTGGGCAGACACCCAAAGGACTCTGAAGAAGGCTTTGGTTGTCTTCCAGCTATCTATCATAAAGTTCCATCTTGATGACCAGCTGAAGGATGCAAAAATGAATGAGATGATTTCCAAGCTCACTGGTGGGGGAGACAAAACTTTTCCATTTCATATCTGCAATCACCTTTGAGTTTAGTAAATTCTGTAAATCTTGAATTTAGAATAATAGCATTTAAGAGAGCTGAGTGGGTCTTTAGGGATAATTCAACATTTTTCCCACTCCCTCATTTTTCAGATGAAGAGACTGAGTCCACATGGTAGTAAATAGCTTGCCCTAGGTCACATAACAAATTAGTGGCTAGAACCCAGGGCTCCTGATACCTGGGTCAGGGACCTTTCCTTAATATCCTAAGTGTCTTTTAGAGAAATTGTATCCTTGGAAGAGAGGCCTGGCAATCTACTTCTGAAAAATCAGCCATTGAAAACTCTATGGAGCACGGTCTACTCTGACACACATGGGGTCACCATAAGTCAGAATCAACTCGATGGCAACCGTTTTGGTTTTATATGCTCCTTACAGAATCTGGGCAGGAGCAAGCACAAAGTTTGCACACAAAAACTCACTGCCTTTCCCTCTGCTTCCTAGTAAATAAAAGAATGTTCTTCATAGAGTACCAACTGAACACCAGGTGCTGTGGAGGCATGGAAGATGTAATCATTCACACCCAGGAAGTAGGGGTAGAGTCACTCCTAAAACTCTGACAAGAGGTAGGGTAGGGGAACTATCGTGGTTCTAATGCTGTTCTGACTCCACAGCGAATGGCATGGAAATCAATCCTGCTGTCTTAAGAATGGAAAGTTAAACATTAGAATTTTTGACTGGGAAAAGTAGGAGACAGAGAAAAGACCACTGAGGCACTTTTTCCCAAGTGACTCAAGTCTGGGGCACCTTTTTTCCCTGTGCTACATAACATTTGAAATGTTTGGGTCTGTCTGGACTGGCGATGCCATGGCCTAGGGCAAGCAGAGAAGAGAGGCCTCTGGGAGCTGGGAGGCAGCTCCATTAAGGACATTTTGCATTTGCTACATTTACACCCATTCTCTTAGGAAAAAAATGAAACCGAAAAAAAGATATACAGAATACAAGCCTAAATTTCTTATTATTAGATTCAGCAAACCTAAATTATTCCATCAGATTGCTATAAAAATTTGTAAACACTTTTAGTTTCCATACTTATCTGTTGCAGAAGGATAATCAGTTCACAGGCCAGGACCAATCCTGGCCCACAGTTTGACTACACTGTCTTGACCCCTGGAGCCCCTTTGGTGGGGGGATGGCTGAGCTCCCCTTCCTGTCCAAACCAGGTCCAGGGAGCTAGGAGGTGGTCTGGATACGGCAGTGGTCACAGGATAATGAGTCAGGACTATGACTGACTTCCCACTTTCCTCTCAATCTTTCTAGCCTTCCTTAGGAAAGCCCTAGGAAAGAGCTTCACCAGTCAAGGAAGACCTCTGCCCCCTTCATTGACCCTACCTCTTGAGTTTTAGGAGTGACTCTACCCCTACTTCCTGGGTGTGAATGATTACATCTTCCATGCCTCCACAGCACCTGATGTTCAGTTGGTACTCTATGAAGAACATTCTTTTATTTACTAGGAAGCAGAGGGAAAGGCAGTGAGTTTTTGTGTGCAAACTTTGTGCTTGCTCCTGCTCAGATTCATTGTAGTCCCTAGCCATACCTAATGGCACCTGGGGTCACTACTAGGAACGAGTTCTTCCATTCATTCATTTGTTCATTCATCCAGGCACCTTCTTAAGCACTAAGAATATGAAGTGAACTTAAAACACCTATTCCTGCCTAAGGAATCTGACTTTCCAGCAACAAAGTGGTGTCAGAAAGAATGGCATCAGTCTTTTCAAATATAGCCCTGGGTGACCCAAAGATTGATACTTCACTATACAGCAGTTAACGAATTGGAGATCTAACCCTCAGGTACAAAATATGCTCTTCAGAGAATCTGAGCAGGAGCAAGCACAAAGTTTGCATACAAAAGATTCACTTACTACCTACTAGGAATGAAGGAAATTTACCAGAACTTTCTTTGGTAGAATGTGGTGGAAGGAACTGTTGCAGAAATGGCCTCTGAGGTGTTTCTGCTTCGTGGTCTCAGATGATTCCATGAATTTACAGTCACCCAGGGAGGAGGCTGGAATGGTGCACTTGCTTGCCTGGGTAAAATGAATAGGAGGGACCCCCAAAGAGAGATCCTCTTTAATTATCAGTACCTTGGGGAGGAAGGCAGGGCAAGGAGTGGGGTCTCAGTGACAGGTGAGGACACTGAAGCTCAGAGGAATAACTGACTTGACTGCTGGGTTTGGAGGCTAATCTGCCCTTGAGAAATGAGCCTTCAAGCAGGAAGAGACAAAACTCTGACTTACAGAGGAAATAAACCCTAAGGAGAGGAGAAAGCCTTCGCCCCTCTCTCATTCTGTGAGGGAAGGAAGAAGGGCTGGCTGGGCTGGCCAGGGTGGGGCGGGGCTTTCTTTGCAGGCTTTGGGCTGAGTCCCTCCTCCCTGGTCCCCCATTGGGTCGGTGGCTCCCGTAGCCCTGCCACTGAGGGACAAATGAGAAGAGCTGTTGATTCCCCTCCCCCCCCACCCCACCCCCCGCCGTGGTCACCCAGAATTTCCCCACATAAATACTGAAAGGCCCTGCCCTCTCCTCACTCCTTCTCTGGACTTGGCCCTGGACTGGACCTGGTCCTCTGGGGGTGAGCAGGGCTATGGGGGACCTGTTTATGCTCTGGGTGGCTGTGGGCATATGCTGTGCCACCCTCAGTTCCTCTGCCTGGTAAGTCCTTTCTCCTCAGCCCAACTTCAGCCACCCCCCCAACCCCCCCGCAAGGCAGCCCCATTGTCTCATACCCATTCACTGATGCCTTGACTACTCTCTTTTTGGTAGGTCAGTGAACAATTTCCTGATGACAGGTCCCAAGGTATGATGGTCTTCAGCTCCTTTTTTACCCATCTGGATTCCTAAGCGAACTCTTTGGGGGAAGGAATAGGGGAGGGGAGACGGTGCCAGAGGAAGCCCCAATTATTCCTTAATGAAGAATTAGCCCGTAGGATCCCTGCCTGTTTCCTGCACCCCAGCAACCTGGGCTGGGACAGAAGCTCACAGCCCTTTCCCCTTTGCCAGGCCTATCTGACCTATACCACCAGCGTGGCCCTGGGGGCCCAGAGTGGCGTTGAGGAATGTAAGTTCCAGTTTGCTTGGGAACGCTGGAACTGCCCTGAAAATGCTCTCCAGCTCTCCACTCACAACAGGCTAAGAAGTGGTAAGTGTGTGCAGGACCACACCTGTACAAGGGGGCATATGTGTACGTGTAACATTTATGTGCACAGTGAAATGAAAAGTTATGAGTGATCTGCTGACCTGGCACTTCTGTGCTGTGTGACCCTGAGTTACTTCCCTTCACTCAGCCTGTTTTTTGTCATTTGAGCCAATAAGGCCAGCTCTGTTTAGCTTACCTGTGGTATTATAAGGTTTGAATGAGGTGAATAGAAAGGTATCTCTATATAAATGGAATAAATTACTATATTTTGTGATTGCATGCTTGTATTTATGTGTTTGTACACGCTTACCTCAAGCTGATTTGCATGAACGAAAAACAGGGAAAGGGCTCTGTGTTCGTAGCACCTGAGGGAGTTTCACATCTGCCCAGCTGTCATAAAATCCCAGTGACAGAGAAACTGAGAGATCACATTGAGCTGTACCTCTGGTGGAGGTGTCTGTGTGTGTGTGTGTGTGTGTGTGTGTGTCTGTGCCCGCTTGCATACCTATGTAGCTATTTGTAACTGTGTGTAGCAGTCTGCATAAAAGTCCTCTGTGTAGAAACAATAGACTTGCTTGACAAGAGTTAGTGGGAGGAGACATAGGGGATGGGATAGAAATAAATATCTTCCTGTGGGGTAGACAGATGGGGCATGTGGAAATGAAATATGACAATATTGGGTTGGTGGCTCCTGCAGCCCTGCTACTGAGGGACAAAGGAGAAGAGCTGTTGATTTCCCCCCTTGGCCATTCAGAATTTCCCCACATAAATACTGAGAAAGGCCCTGCCCTCTCGTCACTCCTTTTCTGGAATTTGGTAAGTGGTAGCCATAGACGCTATTATTATTTCATGATCAGGAGGAAGACAAGGTCCTTCTCTCTTTCCTGAGCCAACCCCATGACCCTGAGTCCTCACTGTCCCTGCCCGAGCATGAGTAGCTGTGACTAGTGGACCGAGCTCTAGGCTGGACTTCAGGAGAGCAGAGTCCTGGTTCCAACAGCACCACTGGTGAGGAGAGTGGTCTTGGTCTCATTCACCATCTCTCTAGGTTTTGCTTTCCCCTTCTGCAGCATGGAGGTGCTCATCCTGCCTAGATAAAGTAAGGATGCTAGAAAGACATGCATTGTTCTCTCAGGTAGAAGAGCATTCTTCTCTTAAACCCAAAGTGGGTGGGGGACAAAGGAGAGGAACAGCATTGTTTCTGCAAAGCTCTGCTTTAGATCATCAGAGTCCAAGTTTCCAGTCCCCTCTTTCTCTCTGAAGCCACTAGGGAGACTTCCTTCATTCATGCGATCAGCTCTGCTGGGGTCATGTACACCATTACCAAGAATTGTAGCATGGGAGACTTTGAAAATTGTGGCTGTGACGAGTCAAAAAATGGAAAAACAGGTAAGTTGTGACTTCTGATGGGGGTGGGAAGAGGTGAAGGACTGCAGAGCTGAGCACAGGTTAGTCTTTCAGGGAAAGGCTGAGGAACACAGTTCCCTCAAACCCCTCACCCCAGCAGCCCCTTCATTTGTAGGAAATCCTGGATCTAGACTCTCCTGAGAGTTGAGCCTGGGTCCATGAGTCCAGAGATTAGCAAGTACCACCAAGGTCCAAATCTAACCAGGCAACTAGGAATGAGGAGGCCAAAGAGAAGCTAAAGCTAACCCTGATATTCCAGGCTTAGAATGAGTTATCTGTAATCCACAGCTTCTCCACTATTTGCAGACCACCTAAGAGACATAGTTAGACAGATTTGTCACTAATGAAGGAAGAGGAGGCTCTGACAAGACTACTGTAGAATAATAGTACAGAATCCCAGAATGTTTGAGCTGGGCTGAACCTTTGAGATCATCTAGTCCAGCCCCAGTGTCCCAACATTTACTGTGGGTATAGAGACTAAGGCGTACAGCTAGGAAGTACCAGAAAGGTAGGCCATTGGCCATGAGAACAGGACTGCCTCCACCTACCCTCATCACCTCTATTTCCCCGTCTCAGCTTGAGCTTTACAAGCTTTTAGGGCTCTTGGGTATGGTTTGACTCTAAGAGCCAAAATGCCCATGATTCTTCTCCTGGGACTTAGCAGAAAGCTGTATGCAGAGCTTACTCTTTCTTTACGTATAGGAGGCCACGGCTGGATCTGGGGAGGCTGCAGCGACAATGTGGAATTTGGAGAAAGAATCTCCAAACTCTTTGTGGACAGCCTGGAGAAGGGGAAGGATGCCAGAGCCCTGATGAATCTTCACAACAACAGGGCAGGCAGGCTGGTGGGTATAGGAGTCAGCCAGCAGTCTCACATCTGCAGCTCTTTACAACTTACCAAGAGCTGTCTCATGCCCACACGTTTCATCCTCATGCCACCCACAGGTGGGATGGTTACCCCCATTCTCTGGATTATGAAGCCAGTTAAGCCTGAGTCAAGTGGCTTGTCCAAGGCAGCAACTAATAAGCATCAGAGCCAGGCAATGAACTTAGATCTTCCAACTCCCAGTGTAGTCCTCTTATCACTAAATCCTTTGTTCTGCCCCCCACCCGCCGCAGGCAGGTTTCTGAGAATACAGACCAATGCAGAATCAAGGCCTTGCTTCCGTGCCTTTAATTTTTGATCATTTCAATTGCATGCTCTAGGAAATGAACTGGGGTTTGTTTTCCAGTCTTGTGTCCTTGGGTCTATCTGGGCTGCCAGGGATTGGCAGGCTCCTCTGGATCCAGGTTTCTCTAGAAGAGTCTGTTCTTGTCCCAGGGTTATAATTCATCCCCAGGCTTCTGAGGGGTAGCAGTCTCAGGAGTATTTTGAACTTAAATCTGAAAGCAAGTTGAACTCAGAGCCAAGACCATAGAAATTTCCTTGTGAACCTTTACCTAGATGTCCTGGTTGCCTGGGGCTGGAGGGAAAGAGGTTTTCAAGGAAATGACAACCAGGTGTTAGGGGTAGGGGCTCAGACTCCAGGAGTTTCCTTACCTGTGGGAAGGGAAAATCCAAACCTCCACAAATACCCCACATTCCAGCTTCAAGACAGTAACAGCGACAATGATCCTATTTTCTGTTACAATTTACAAAGCACTTTCTTGATCATTATTTTATGTGATTCTTCTTCCCGTTGGCAGATAGAGAAACAAGCTCAACAAAGTGATAGAGCTGGGTGTGGAGCTTAGGTTTCCTGACTCCAGTCACCTTCTCAACACTTGCCTGGCTTGCCATCAGAATCATCTGGGGTGGGGGTGTGGGGGAGTTGGGGGGGGCTTTAAAATTTCCAGTACCAAGGCCCTTAACACCCCTCATATGCTAATTGAGAAGATCTAAAGTAGGGCGCAGGAATAAATATTTTTCATGAGCTTCCCCAGAACTTCCTCGGAAGCTAAGAAGCACAACTGTAAAATATTCCAGTTAACCACCAGCGCTTGGTGTTCCCTACCCACAGCCATTCTCTCTTTCATTCTCTCTCTCTCTCTATGTGAAGGCAGTGAGAGCCACCATGAAGAGGACCTGCAAATGTCATGGCATCTCGGGGAGCTGCAGCATCCAGACATGCTGGCTGCAGCTGGCTGACTTCCGGGAGATGGGAGATTACCTGAAGGCCAAGTATGACCGGGCACTGAAAATTGAGATGGATAAGCCGAGGCTAAGGGCTGGGAACAGTGCTGAGGTCCGCTGGGCACCCACCGAGGCATTCCTTCCTAGTGCAGAGGCTGAGCTGATCTTCTTGGAGGAGTCGCCAGATTACTGTACCCGCAATTCCAGCCTCGGCGTCTATGGCACAGAGGGTCGAGAGTGCCTGCAGAATAGCCACAACACATCCAGGTGGGAGCAGCACAGCTGTGGGCGCCTCTGTACCGAGTGTGGTCTGCAGGTAGAAGAGAGGAGAACAGAGGCCATCAGCAGCTGTAACTGCAAATTCCAGTGGTGCTGCACAGTGAAGTGCGACCAGTGTAGGCATGTAGTGAACAAGTACTACTGCACACGCCCCCCAGACGGTGCCCAGTCCCGAAGCAAGGGCAGTGCCCGATAGCACCCCAAACAAAGTCACTTGCTCTGTTGCATGACAGAGAAGGGGAACACAGCTTCTCTTTTGGAGAGAGTAGCTTGGAAAACAATTGGAAAATCACAGGGTTGGCCTGTAGTCCTCCTGATGACTCATGATAAATGAGGAAACAGAGGCCTCAGATTATACAGCATATTCTTGTCAGAGCTGAAGTTGGAACTTGGGGCTTCTGACTTAGGCAGACACCATTCATCTCTCCAAGTTACTTCCTAGTCTTTGTACCTGTATTTATGCAGTTTGCTAATAGGAGACTTTTGTTTAGGGTCCATATTCAGAGAGACCCTCAAAGTACTTGTTCCTTTAGGGGAACAGAGGGAATGGAAGCAAAAATGAAAGGATTTGGTTCAGACTCCTGAAGGAGCAACCTTGCCCTACTCTGGCTGTCTCCGTAAAGACCAAATACAAGTTCACGCAGATCAGTGGGCTGAGACTACCTATCTGCCTATTGGGAAGTTTTTGGGGTATTGGGTTTTTCACCTGAGTATGCACTTTTGAAAATGGCCACCCAACTCTGAGGAAGACAGGCCCCAACACAACCTAAGGACTTCTCCAGCTCATAAACCATCTCTAGAGCCATGGAGAGGGAATGGTCGCAGTAAGTGGACAGGTGACTACAACTTACCCAGACAAGGTCCCACAAGAGGGATTTCCCCCAAGACAGCTGTAAAATGACCTTGTTTTGTTATTTTCCCAGATTGGGAACTTCAACTTCATTTTACAATAAATATTTCTAGACTATATCCAGATGGGTTCCTTTTATTTTTCCCTTTGGAAATCTAAGGATCAGAAAGAGAACAGGAAACCCTGCCTTCTGTATCCCAATTATTCACCAGCATAAGAGGGAAACTGGAAATATCCAAACCCCTTGATTTCAGTGTTTGACAGATAATAAAATTGAGACTCAGGCATTGGCCAACAGGAAAACAATCCAGACTCCCAGATTTAGAAGGTATTATTTTAATGCACCCCAAGCAACTTGGGGAACAAGGAAGCCCTTTGAACCTGAACCATATTCAAAGTGTGTTCACTCTCTTAACTTGAGCTTCCTGGGGTGCCTGTACATCAAGGTTTGGGCCCCAGGATAAATAACTGGGAGAGTTGTGGATTCTACCCTCCTTATTTACACTTCTACATCTTCCCATAAAGTGAGCACTGGGGGCTCAGTCACGGGTCTAACTGAATATCTCAGCCTTGGGAGTCTCCCTGTCTGCGTAGGCCAGCACCTTGCAGGGAAGAAGTATTTCAGATATGTTAAATAAACTAAGTAAAATGACTGATCACTAAGAGTGGGGGAAACACCCCCAGCTCATTGTTTTAAATTAGAAAACAATTTAAATGTTCAACAGTAGGGTAAACTAGTTAAATCATGGCCCTACATGGAATATAATTTAACCATAAAACATTATTCTTGAGAAATATTGGTAACATGGAAAACATTTATTATATAATTAACTGAACAAAGCAGATTATAAAACAGCATTTTCAGGATAAACACAATGTTGTTAAACACATACATGAAAATATTTGCCATCATATAATGCCAAAAAACAGTGGCTTTTGTTTTCCTTTTTGTGTTTTTCTGTATTTTTAATTTGTCTACGATAAATAAGTATTCTGTCATCAGAAAGAATTAATAATAAATGTTATGTTTAAAATTCCAAGAGGGAATAACCAATCCAATTTTTCTGAGTGAAAAAGGTGAAATGTTCATTTAGGAAGTTGACATCTCAAGAGAAACCTAAGCAGGTTCCTTGAAAGTCTACTCTGATCTGTTTTGCTTGTGGTACATCTAAAACAATCACAGATGCCAGAAAGGAGCCCTGGTGGTGCAATGGTTATGTGCTTGGCTGCTAACCAAAAGGTCAGCAGTTCAAACCCACCAACGGCTCCAAGGGAGAAAAAACCTGGTGATCTGCTCCTGTAAAGATTATAGCCTAGGAAGCCCTGTCGTATAGGGTCTCTGTGAGTTGGAATCAACTTGAAGGCACACAACAACACAGATGCCAGAAACCAGAGACAATGAGAAATCCATAAAATGCAGCCTATGTCAATGAAACTGAAGATCCTACCTCCCTCCTTCTAAGGAAGGTAAAAACACACTAAAGTTAGTGACAGAGACAAAGTGTGCATGGTATGGGTGTGTGTTTATGTGGTGGTGGTGGAAGGAGGAATTGGGAATGGAAGAGACACTCTAAGCCCCAAAATTGTGATGAAAGAAATAGACAACCAAAATTAAAGATTATTTCCCTGGGGTTCCAAGAAAAAAACAAAAAATTATCTGGCCCTGAGGTTACACACTCAATAAATATAGATGCCAAACTACCCGTCATGGAACGTGAGTTGTGACACTGTGACGGATGAGCAAATAAACTAGATTTTCTCCCTTTATTCCTGACTGAGTATCCATCCAAAGAACCCAGGACCTGCTACTTTGACGTCTTCCCTCAGGACCTTGTTGACATACCCAAATAGTCTTAGGAGGGATTTTCAGAAATAAAAACCTCCCTGCTGGCCTATTCAAATGGTCATTCAAGGAGAACAAGCCTTGTTTTAGCTGTGGGCTTATATCTGAGGTTTTCACTAATAAAACCCAGAGCAATGGGAATTTCATGAAAAGTAGAATTCCCAAACAAAGTGTATCCCCTAGTCTCTACTGCTTCCAAGCCTCTTTCGTCTTCATCCATCTTCCCTTCATGACGATCAATCACATCAACAAATCTTCCCAAATGGACCCTGGGCTAAAGGAATTTAGGTTTCTTTATATCCATCACCTTCCTGTCAGAGATTCATTCCAAGGCATTACAGAGTTGTTCAGATTCATTAGTTACTACTCCACACCGCTTTCCTTTGGTTCATCAGTAACAAGCTGGGTATCAGTAAGGTGACAGAATTGTAAAACCCCCATGTTTGATAGGTTCAGGGCCCAAGACAGGCAGATTGGCCACAGTCTGATGGTGGAGCTTGAAAATCTGCTGAAAGGAGATCAACTCAGTGAGGGAAACCTGTCCATGAGCCCATTCCCACATTTCAGTAAATCCAGACACTACATCAGTTCACCTGGAGAATAGAAGCCTGTATTCTCTCCATTGAGATTTGGAAGGAAAATACGCTTATGCCTGCCTAGCCCCTACAAAACTGCTGCTGCTCTTCTTCCTTCTTCTAATCCCATATGATCTATGAAGCAGACAGAATTAGGGACTCCTAAGAAAATCCTGGTGGTGCTATGGTTAAGAACTTGCTGCTAACCAAAAGGTCAGCAGTTCAAATCCACCACTCACTTTTTGGAAACCCTACGGGGCAGTTCTACTCTGTCCTGTAGGATTGCTATCAGTTGGAATCGACAGCAACAGGTTTGGGTATTTTGATTAAGAAAATCCTAGATGGTGCAAACCCAGGCCACTTGGCTGCTAACCAAAAGGTTGGAGGTTCGAGTCTACCCAAAGATGCTTGAGAAGAAAAGCCTGGTGATCTACTTTTGAAAAATCAGCCATTGAAAACTACACAAAGCACAGTTCTACTCTGACACACATGAGATTTCCATGAGTTGGAATCTACTCAAAGGCAACTGGTTACTGGTTAAGAAAACCCTGGTGGGGGGCGGCAGTGGTGGTTCAGTGGTAGAATTCTTGCCTTCCATGCAGGCAACCCAGGTTCGATTCTCAAAAGGAAATAACTGAGCACCTATCAAGTGTCAGAGACCTGATGGTGCAACAGTTAAGCATTCGGCTGCTAACCAAAAGGTCGGCAGTTCGAATCCACCAGCAACTCCTTAGAAACCCTATGAGGCAGCTCTACTCTGTCCTATAGGGTTGCTATGAGTTGGAATCGGCTCCACGGCAACAGGTATATATATACAGGTATCAACTGTCAGTTATACATTACCTCCTTCAATACTCAGAACAACCTGGTTAAAGAGTTATTATTCCCGTTACTACTGAGGAAACTGCGGCTCAGAAAGGCAACCATGGTCAAAAAAGGGGAGGTGGATTTGAACTCAGACAAGCCACACTGTAAATGCATACATTTCCTTTTACAACACTTACATTTTGGGAGCCTAGCAATCTCAGGCAACATTTCTAACCCGCCTGCCTGCTTTGTAGAACGACTACCATTCACATGCATTGAAAGGTGTCCCCTCCTGCCCTCTTCTGGAAGCCGGAAGTGTCACATTTCTCAGCCCTTCTGAATAAAAAAATGAAACTTTTGGCTTGCAAAGACCTTCCTTAGAATGATAAAGACTCCTGCTGACTTGGGAGGGCAGAATCTTGGTTCTCCCAGGGGTGCTAAAAAAAAAATGCTAACTGTTACGGCCTACTCTGAGGTCAAGTTTCAAGAGGGAATGTCCAAAGAAGGTGTGCTTATTTTGGAGGACAAAAGAAAAGAAAACAAGATCCAGAAAAAGATGAATAAATATCTAGCCCCACATCACAAACTACTCATAATCTTCACTGATGACAAAAGACCCAAAGCCCAGATAAAGATTTCTGGGTTTGGGGAAAATGAAGTGAAAGCAAGGACCAGAGTAAAGGCTTCTGAGAGAAGTTAAAGACCTTTGGGTAGGAAAAGAGCTCTGAACCACCTAATCCAATTGCATTTCCTACCACAGAGGAGGTAAGACTAGACTCCAGGGCCCTGGACACTCTCCATAGCACCAGCTGCCCTTCTCAAGGAATGAGAGAAAGAGAGACAGATCAGGAAAGGGACGTGATGACCCACAGACATCATTGAGAAAATTAGGCCAGGATCTGGGAGGCCTCAGACTGTGCTTGGTCAGCAAGGGAGTAGGGAGGATATAGGTAGTAGGATAAGTGGAGATGTGAGTAGGGAGTGGGTGGGATGTGGATAGAAAAGACCTGGTGGTGCACCAGGCACCCAAATTCCCACATTACTCTCAGACTCTCAAGTACTTGGGTAGACCTATGATGGGACTCAATGACTTTAAAAAGGTCCCTTGTCATTTCTTGGAG